CTCAGTTGCCAATCGTAGGGGACACTTGCTGCGCCTTCCGGTAAAGTTCATGGAGAAACGATAGTGTACCAAGGCATGATAAGAGTCGACACAGGTACTCCAGTACGATCGACAATCCAGGATGGAACCACGCCATGTATAACTTATTGCTATGTGGTCAATTTGGGTCCATCGCTGGCCAGCTACAGGTGGACGCCAAGTGGCACTTCGGCGCCCATTGTGTCCAAACGCAGTGCTACTAAGAAACAACTGGTGCTCCGCACACAGTTGCAGCAGACGCTCACCGTTATCCGTCCGTTCGGAGCTAAGCCTATAATTACCACCCAGCTGAGCTTCTGAAGAGCTCAGACGCCCTACTTGTGCGTTCATATCCCCTGCATGTACCATAATATCTGAACTAGTATCATTGCGTAGTAGGGCGTTCAGTTCGTGATAGAATGTGTCTTTGACAGCATTAGAACTGCAGTCGGATGGAGCATAAACGAAAATCACAAACAAATAGCCTTTTGTATTAGTTGACCTGTTTGTCCTAGAGTGAGAAGGTTGAACGTCGCCTTGGAAACGGGATAGTGTGGCCTTATGAGGGACTTTTGCCGATAGGCGTCCGATAGGTGCTGTGGGATGGTGGCTGCATATGGTTCTACTCCAGTAGCACTTCGGTTGCTGTCAATTAAGCTGGGAATTATAGAAGGAAGGTTAGTAATGGAGGCCGGGATGGGAGTAAGAGAAACGGGTGGAAAAGAAAGAAGGGAGGCGCTAGCAGTAGCATGTTTTCGCTTATCCGCCCTGCTGTATGTAGCAGATAAGGCGACCCTTGCTAATTTGCACGACAGCCGATGCAGGATGAAGTTCATGTATGAAGAAAATGTCATGGTTGTAAGTAAGGATTGGATCTCCTCAAAGCCATCGGTAGTGCATTGTATGTATACCCAAGCTAAATAGACGCTCGGGGTACGATTGTCTGCGTAACTCCTCGACCGATTTGGTACCTACTCACAAAACCGTCTCGAGCTCTATTTTGTCCCGAACAAGGCAGGGCGGGCAAGCCTAGAAGTAGTATTCCAAGCTGAAAACTGCTTCACAAGGATGTCGGCGGTTCAGACTCCGAAAGAACGACGTATTAACCACATCCTGAAACCCCTACTTGCGGCCTTCTTCCAGTTGTCACCAGAATGCAAAGACGAGAAATGGACGACGCCTAGGTCTACCTGCTTGGAGCCAAGGGGGAGTTCGACCGCACCGAGCACATGCCTCGAAGGTGGGAAAGTTGCTCCTATACGAAGGACGGAACACAGCCTGATTAATGCGGCTGAAAACATTCTGCGGCAGAAACAAAACAGGGCCAATTTTAAAGGAGCATACATCATCCGTGTTCTCAATGATTGCTCATTTTCTCGCAACTCTTGAAAAAAAGCATTTGTTGTTAACTTCATACCCTCAGATTTGTATCCGTTGCAGATAGCACCACTTATTGAATTTATGATCGACGTGCTTCACGGCATTAAATCAGAGCTGGACAAGCATAGTGAGAATTGCATGGTCAATCTAAACAAGCCACTGACAGACATCCATAAAATCAATTGATGTGCGTATTATCATGCCAAAGTGCTTCTACACTTTCAATTCTGCATCACCAGAACAAACATGTCTCACTGCATCCATGATTGCAATATCATCTACTGTTTCCCGGAGATCAATGTTTGAAGTGTCAATTTCATCTTCCGTCTCAGTTTGATTATCACCCTTCATTTTCACGGAGGTAATTTCGATGAATTCACATTTGTTATTGAACAATCATGTGTACTAACGGTGCCACTTCCTGTCACATGTCGCCTGGGGCGGACCGCCCCCTCCGCACTTCCTATGCTAAGCCTCTGCCTCCCACCCACGTGCAGTTGACCACGTGGACCTGAGCAGTGCGCGCAGCGGACTACTCACGTGCCATCCAAAATCTGCAGGATTTAAGCCGCGACATGATCGCCTTATGGGCGAGAGAAAGTCTAACCCAGGCGGCAGTAGTACGCCTCACTCAGTGTGTCTAACCACAACTTCAATGTTTACTTTTGCGTAGATAACATTGGTCGGCTAAGGGAACCCGGCTATGCGCCTGAGTTATTCTGTCGTTGGCATCCGGTCTAGTGGCCTGTCACATTCTTACTTAACACGTTAGCGAGTGAATTTCAGTCTTAGAGACCGGTGAGCGCATCGTTTGTGTGTCTTAGTCAACCTGTGAAGAAACGCTACCGAAAATTCTTACACCGTGTAACTCCAACTAACGCCATGATCAGCTACCGAAGGGATTGTTAACAGCAGAAAATCAACACGTACTGTCACATCACCCCATCTCGACCACTAGAGGGCTGCGGAAACTTCAATGTAGCCCACAGGTGCGCGTGATCACACTCCAGACATGTGAACCACTTGGCCACCTGCCTGTCCCATGGGATCACTTCATATCCACTTAATGCACTTCCAGTAACCAGTGAAAGTTCGATGTCACCAGTGGCTGCTTTGAATACACAGTAGAAGTTAGATTAGACTAATGAGATTGATCTTAAGTGCTGAGCAAATGTGACCTTGGTTAATGGCAGTAATAACGAGTGGTTGTCGGGATTTAACTTGGTGTCGCCTGAATAACACCTGTGTCAAGATTACACAGACCACCGTTTTCCCCGATTGAGCCGCCAGAAACTTAATCTGCGCGATCAGTCTTCAAGGGGGTGTATGGTCGGGCTCTGATGTACTGGCTAAATGGTTACACTACGACGCGTAAGCACAGCCATTCCGATGAGACAAAGTTTCGGGAGCACCTGCTCTGAACATGTCAGTTCACACAGATTTCAAACTTGTTCAAGGTCCTCAGAGATCCATTGTTTTGACGCGAGCCCGTAGCGTAGTATTTGCCAGCCTACTCGGCTGCAAGTGTGACAATGGTTGTATCGGTTTTAAGCCCCTTTCTCTGTTTGCAGCATCGAATGTGTTAGCTATTTCTAACATTCAAGTTTCGCCACAGCACCCATGATGGATGTCTCTTTTACGGACGGATGAAACCTCATAACTGGCCGTCCTTCTTCAGTGGACCCGAGCCGAGACACATTCCGTTTTTCATTCAGACTATTTATTTGTATTTCGAAGAAGAGAACTGTAGCTTATCTCTGGAAACTATTCAAGAGACAGCGTATTGAAGCAGAGGCTTATGATGTTAGGGAAACACAGGTGCTATTTCTGCATCAGAAGCTTCTTCTCCTTTAGCCTTTAAACAAGTTCCCAATGGCAGACAGGCGGCTTGACCATGAGAAACTCGCAGGATCCGCTATTGAAAGTTGTGGTTATGTACTTAGATAAATGGAATGGGAATAGAGTGCTGGGGCAAAAACCAGATGCAGATTAATTTTGAGAAGTTTATTTCACCACGAGTGAGCATCAGAGCCCTAGGTTCAGATCAAAGACATTGTGCAACCTATGTTTGTTGGAACTTGCATGCTTGAATTCAGCAATTACCTTCCGTATGCAAATTTGACGCTTACATGCCCACGGGATACAATCATATAACCGCCGGTTTATAGGAGAACAGAATGAACAGATAATTTAATGTTACAAGTTAATGCTACAACACTCTGCTACACAATACTGACACCGTTTCTGTCCGTATCCTAAATCTCCGAACCCATGTGAGTTACGTTCTAGGTGCGCTTTAAGTATAAAGATATATGTGGAACATGCCTAAGTCCAACAGCAAGTAAAGTAAATCCATGTAACGGCAATCCATAAACTCATGTATATGCAACAGAACTTCCAAAGTCGTAACAGTTATCGTGGGGCGAATGAATGCTTCATTGTGAAGGCCAAAAAGCGCCGCAGCCCCGGTTACAGCAACGTTAGGATCGACAGAAAAACTCGTTTGAAGTGTTGGAATCCCACTAATTTGGGAAATAATTTATTTCATCCTGGTTAAATTACAAGCAAAGTGGGAATTCTTAGTGAGCTTCCTAGATATGAATAGCGTTGATAGTCAGAAGTAAGACTCTCTCTTAATTATACAAGGTAGCCCACAGTTTGACGGCGGCAGTGGTAGCGTCACTGCTCGACAAACACAGCCTTAATACTGGATGTAATGACAAACTTTTAGCCACAGAAATGAATTATCAGCCTGAGTGACCTCTACCCAGGGTACCGACAGGATTTAATCAGCTAAAGTCATAGCAGATAATAAGCGGAAGATGTTAGTTTGTCAGCCTCTCCTGGTGGGGTGTAAGCTTCCAGCTCACTTACTTTGTGCCTCCGTTATGGGATAAAAAGAATCAGTAAAGTATAAGCCTTAGAGAACTCTCGCAGCTCACCGGATTGTGTGTGCAATATTCTGCATCACACTTACAGCCGCTCGGGAGCTCGCCCAAACTAGGCCATCAAGTGTATTGCAGCAGACCTGAAGGAAAGGTCTATTCCGGTGACTTGTGGTGATTGGCTATCAGGAGTAATTGTCCGTCAGGCGTCGCAGATGATTGCTTGTTCCATGACACGGCTGCATGCGATTGTGATGTCTAATGTTATGTGCAACGCGGACCGACTTTGACCGTGTGTACCGATTACAACCGTGTTCTCGTATGTGTCTTGTTCTGACGTATAACGTCACCAACCATAGTTTGAAATGAATCTCATTCACATCAGTGACCAATCGAAGGACTCGTTCTGTGCGCATGTCGATTAAGCCTCGCGCCATTGATCATCAACTGAGAAGTTCAGGATTTGGTCTATTCGCCTAGCTGAACAATTTCGTTGCAGACGTTTCATCACCTACTATGCACTGACTAAGTCACCTCGGTTGATAATCAAACGCCTGCAACGAAATTGTTCAACTCGGAGAACAGACTAAATCCTGAACAGACAACCCGAGCTACAGGTGTTCGAATTTATTCTAAACTGAGTAGTTGAAGGAAAAGACATGTGCACTGAAACTAACAGATGGCATCCACCATCACCACCACTACCAGTGGACTCACGTTCTCGAAATGCTTGAATATGTACTCGATTGCTCTGGGTATGATTCCGCGGTCAGTGTACTTTTCCGATCCGCCAGTGATGGTGAAGGTTTTACCGCTACCAGTTTGCCCATAAGCGAACACCGTACCATTGTAACCCTGTAGAACCCTGAGCAGGAAATAAGTTCGTGAAGGTAACACGTCATTAAATGTGTTACATTAATGGAATACTACCAATACAACAATACCGAACACAAGTAAAGTAGTGCGGAATAAGCAGCAATACAAATCAAGTACAAAAACAATGCAAAACGGAGAAACGTAGGCTAAGTGTGCATATCCTGAGACACCATAAGAGAATAAGAGGCGTAACTTGTAAAGATGTCAATCACGATTCCGATCCCTTAATAAAACGTGGCACATCGGAAATAAAACATCATTCCGCTTGATTATATAACGCCCGGACCGCAACACATGCATAGCAATTTTGCTAGTTCCACGGTCTATCGAATTCTTCTTCATTTGATCGGGGTAGCCATCGTGAGCAGATTGAACCTTAACGTGGTGCGATGGTTTGTGTGCCCCATTGATCCATTGAGCCCTTCTGGGTGGTGCTGTTTGCACCTTCAGAGCCACTCATAATAGGTTGGTCGATGGTTAGAGGCCAGACAAACTCATTCTCTTGGTCCTCCAGGTTGAGGGTTGGAGTGAGGGTAGCTCCTCACTCCGTAAAACGGGCTCTCTGTAGTCCAGTGCCAAAACCCCACTGCCTTGCGGTAAGCTTTTTGAACCAAAGGCTTTGGTTGAGAACCCTAATCGTACTATGTCTAGACTTGGGCTAACTGACAGTATCCTGCCCACGCAATACACCATGATTTTTCTTTCTAATACTCACTTGATGATCTGCTCGTCGCAGCGGAAAATAAACGGCGCCCTATCTGCCGCATCGAGCAGGGTGGATAGGGGTTTGGATGCTACTGCTCAAGCCTTCTCGTCTTCTTATTCCCCCTCTTGCACTTTTTCATTTTTAGCGTCCCGCCCCAACTTCACTTTCATCCCCGTTTATAATCCCCAAAGTCTTGGACTTCCTGCACCTTGTTTGAATAGTCGCGTGTCTTCTACCTTCAACTCACACAGTCACAGAGCGTCGCTCCAATCCAGTCGACATGTTCAATCAAGCGGATGTGAGTTCATCCGTTTCCCTTTGGAGTCCTCGAGTCTGGCTAAGACTGGCATGTCTCAGCGCGCGCACTTTCCTACAGATTGGCCAACAGGCAACACTTGCACGCACAGTAGAGACCCTATCGATAAATACTTGCTGTCTAACAGAAACCCACCTGCAAGATTCGAGCTCCGTGCTTACCCTGCGATCCCCACATACGACACTGGCGGCACATTCTCATTGTACCTGTCTGGCGATGACGCAGCTTCAAATGCAGGTCAAGCTGGCGTCAGCATTGTTTTGAGTCACCGGGCTGAAGCTGCCCCGATCGATTGGATCCCAGTCAACAGCCGGATGCACGCCTTTAGATTGGCTGGCTAATTCCAGGTTTCGAAGTCGCGCGAGGGTAAACAGTGTCTATTTGTCATTGCGGCTTGCGCACCTCAAAAACTGCAGTCCTGATACGGTGAAAGATGATTTTCATCGTTAACGTAACCACCTTTGTTGTGGAAGACACACGGGTTCTGTGAAGCTTGCTGGTGATCTAAACGCCAAAGTCGATATATTCTCCTCTGATGAGCTTCATCTGGGCGGCCAACATGGTGTAGACTTCCGTAATGATAACAGTGAGCCGTTGCTACATCTGTGCGATGATGCTCGTCTCTTTCACGCGATCACTAACGTTTGACACAGCAACCGTAGAAGAATGACGGCGCCCACATGTCTCGGACCGGACATGGACGCAAATCGATCTCATCGCAACCAGCTATCGCTGGAGAGGCTGAGTCCAAAACTGTCGCTCGATTTGGAGCATCAGCGTAGACTCCGATCACGCTCCTATGTGTGCCGTCCTGTGGGTGCATTTCGGTGGACGTCTGCAAGGTCGCTGTGAGCTCATAATCATCAGCCAATTGGCGAAACCAGGTGAATGCTTATCAACGTACGCTGGCATCCGCGCTAAGCGTCTCCTAACCACAGTTGAAGATCACTGGTTGCATATTCGCCAAACGTTACTATCAGCAGGCATGTCGTCATGTGGCAAATCAAATTACCAAAATGGACATGAGGTCTCACGAAAGTCTCTGGAAGTTAGGTATGCTCGCCAACGTATTTCGACTGGAAGCGAATACAATGTGACCCGTAAAAATTTCAGAGCAAAGCAGCATGCTAGCCTGAAGAGAGCGCGCAAAGACTGGTGGTCTCATCGTGCATCGGAAATGGAAACCACCACTGTCGTTGGTAATCATCATGTTATTGCGTCTGGTACAGGAAATAGACGGCAAGAGACCTGGTGTTAGCGAGACAATAAGCCAGGAGAGTGGATAGCCGACTCACAGCCTGTCGAAACGCGTGGAGCGTTGGGCCGAACACTTTGTAAGGCAGTTTAACCAATCCGAGTTATCGCTTCCTTTTTCGGACACTGGGTGCTTTTCTTCATGGACTGTCTCTTTTGATCCGCCCTCACGCACAAAAGTCGAACATCAGATCAGGCGGTTACAATTGCAAAGACCGCGGGGTCAGATAGCATTTCCCCAGTCTTCTTCAAATTCGGGGAACATGCTCTTCTAGACGATTTACACGAGCTGCCAGTGGAAAGTTGGAAGCAGGAAATCGTCCGGAGAGACTAAAGCCTCACCGTCATAGTCCCGATTTTCAAGGGAGGCTCCTGTTCGGAATGCGACAATCATCAAGGGATCAGTTTGATCCCTATTGCCTATAAACTGCTTGCGTCTGTCATTCTAAACAGACTAACTGGCGCTCGTGAAGGCCAGATGTGTGAAGAGCAAGCCGGGTTTCGCCGCGGTCGGGGCTGCGGCTACCACATCTTTACTTTGCGTCAATGGTTGGAGCACCGCCATGTTTATTGGCGACCCCACGTTGTCGTGTTTCTTGACATAAAAGATGCTTTCGATTCAGTGGATCGATGTGTCCGTTGGAACTGTCTGCTGAGAAAAAGTATGCCTGCTAAATACATAAACATTATCCAAGCACTGTATGCGCAGAGTGAGGGTCTATGGCAAACTGTTGTTGCGCTTCAGTATCTCCAACGGTGTGAGACTAGATTGCCAGCTGTCACCCTTTCTCTTTAACTTCGCAGTTGACGAAATCACGAAAACCTCGTTCGCTGGACACCATCTAGAAGGCGGGGAGTTACTTTCTGGTGAGCAACTTCTTGACTAGGAGTATGCAGATGATATTGCCCTAATCTGTGATAGCTCCCAGACGTGCCAAGCAGCGCTGGACCGATTAGCACTGGCTGTCAATCGTTTTGGTCTATGGTTTGCGTCATCGAAATGCAAAGTACTTCTCTCAGATTGGCAGGGACCCACCCCTACACTGACGCTTGGTGATGATCAGCTCGAATTCGTTCAGGAATTTAAGTACCTGGATAGCTATATTAGCGCCCGTGGGATCGAAGATTAGGTTACGAACCTTATAGCAAAAGCTTGAGGTGCTTTTGAATATCTATGCTACCTGCGGCACAAACACGAGGTCACTCTCGCCGTGAAGGGAAGCGTTTATAATGCAGCCGTCCGTTCAACCCTCTTATACGGTTGGGAAATCTGGCCTATCACGTCGACAGACATAAAGAAGCTCGTCATATCCGATCATCGCTGCTTTCGCAGTTTAGCTCATGTCTGGTGGAGGCACCACGTGAGCAATGAGCGTGTTCGGCGCGGCGCATTTGGTGTGGGAAGTGCTAGTGAACCGCTCAGCACCATCATATCACGCACCAGGCTCCGATTGCTGGGCTACGTGTCACGCATGCTAACACACCGACTCCCGCGACGTGCATTGTTTGTGCGTTGTGGGTGTGATTGGAAGAGGAGGAGGGGAGGCCAAGCGATGAGTTGGTCGAGAGAAATAAAAACCCTCATTCCGAAGTTGGCGTCAGTTGGCGCATCCCAACTGTCTAGCTGGTGTCCTAAAAACGACGAACACCTTGGGTTGGGTACACTTGCTGATATGGGGAAGAGCCGGCCCCAGTGGCGTTTGTTTTGTGACATTCTTTGTCCATTCCCCTCCATTTTATATACGCTGCCCAATTCCGTTCTCCTACGAAATGCATAAGATAATACTTAACATTATATTAACTGCTTTGGACTTTTTGTAGTGTGGTTTTCTTGTATCTTACATTTTTGTATTGCGGCACATTAGCTGATGTGTGTTTCACACCCTCAACTAACGTGTATTGATGAGGATGATGATGATGCGGGTAGCACGGTTGTGATACCACCTTAATAGCCTGTAAATATGGGGCTTTGACGAACTCCGAATGCATGAAAAAGCCTGTGGTGTGGTGATTGTCTTACTCGGGGCTAAATATGGAGAAGACTGTTGTGGCAAAGTTGCTCCCAAAGTAGCCTACAGGAAGATATTCTATACGGGTACAAGGCCAAATGACTTGATAAACCATCTAGACAGATTACAAATTTTATAAATGAGATGGACATGAAGCAGATAAGCGATATAGCGAGTAGGACGGAAGGACGGAAAAAGAAGTGCATGTACTCTGACAGCAGAAAATGAGCCAACTATAACAGCGGTCTAATAAGAACGCGTATGAAACACGACAGATGCCTTTAGTTGATGGTTAGAGGGAAGGGGGTACCGCAGTCATTATTTCCGTTTCGAAGTGGCTGCCGTCTCTTCCAAAAATGCGGAATATGCATAAATCAAGTTCAATGAGCGGACGGAAATGTGAGGGCAAAGACATCTGAAAACCATTTAAATCATCCCCTTAACCGCCAGAGTTGTCACCCACTAGGACAATGTCATTTAATGTATCAAGCTATTTGGGGTGACAAACCGCAAGCAAGAGATGAAAATAGACAAAATTTGCAACTGTTATTTGCTGCCGGAAACATTGCAAGACTTCCAGCTGTGCCTTATTGAGGTTGATGTGCACAGAGCTCAACGGCTGGCAATTACAATACATGAGCGTGCCGTACTACCGATCGAGAACGCAAGCGCATATGTGATTGGCCAACATCTAAGTTTTCTTTGTTCGCTTATTTCACTATTGTTTCGTCCTTTAGGTTGCATGTGAAGTAGCTAGGGTCCAACAAATCGTTATTGGCTTCGAACGTGCGTTCCATCACGTATACTATAGTACGGATCATTCACAACGATGACCATCAATGGGTACTCGGGACAGAATAAGAAAGACAGAGTTGGCATTACAGTTGCACAAATTTCCACGGTAATAAACTCCGCAATACCACAAGGAGTATTGGTCTAAATTCGATGCCAACCACCCAAACATTTCATGGTAGGATTCGGTAGGAATGAAGGTGTGTTAGCAGAAAGCGTACTGGTCATGTACTTTTGGTGACAATTCTTAGTTGCTTGCTTTCGTTTTGCAAGAGTTTGTTACTTGACATTCGTTTAAAGGTAGCATTTCGTCGCTTTGACTGGCCGGCCTACGTCGTTCGTAATGGATCTCATCTCAGGCGCCCATTTCCGCTAATGCCGGTCCCAACGAACTCGCTTGATTGGTTCTCTCTTTTACCAATACGCATTCGCCTGTAGTACTCAGTGTCTCCCATGTTGACGGTTGGTTCAAAAGTGTTTTAGTAGCCTTGCTTCCAGTATTGCGGTGCCCTATTTAAATGAAGTAGATTTCACGTATATACCACGCGTTTCTGGCCCGTCTTCGTGTTCTCTCTGCGGTCGTGGGGTCTGAATATTGGGTGGCCACACAACACGGAGAAAAAAACTACACAAATGACTACGATTTCTAATTAATTTTCCCTTCCTGCCATGTAGGTTTGATGTAATGTTTTCTCATGTCGCTAACACCTACTGTACGTGGCGCTTTCTTCCTCGTTGAGAGAGGGAATCAAAAGTACGTCGGCACACTGTACCAACCTTTCGCTGCCACGAGATCACCATCGGTCGCTTGTGGGTTGAATATACCGCGAGGACGACCGGTTTTAAGCTGATTCGAACCGGTGACCTAAGGAGTTCAAGTCAGGCGTCCCATCCTTTCGGTCACCGGCCGACCTCCCCGCCGAGGAGTTAAAGAAATCTGTTTCTGGTCTCAATCAACAATGAGTAAATATTTCGGTCGAAATGCGCTTTCGTTTGTCGTACCAAGATCCAACTTGAGTAACTTCCATACTATACTCTACGACACGAGCTTTCTACTGTGAGCAAATGTATTATTACAACCGAGCAGTTTGTGGTCCCCGTAACCCTTATTCCTCTGGTGGTTGCATGTGCGTATGAAGGTCATCCAGAACATGTGCGAATGAAAGCTCGGATACGACAAAACTATTGGTTGCCGAAGTTGCATTCCAGCGTCGAGGCGGTTATTCGGGAACATTACGCCTGCCAATCCACTGAATGCTGCAGTCCAACTTATCGTGTACCCAATGAAGCAATGGGCAAAAATTACCACTGATATTATGGGCCCGTTTGCCAATGCACCCCCGCAGAAGCGAAAGGTACTAGTGGCTACCTGTTTCTCGAGCAAATGGCCACCGGCTATTCTATGCGGGGACGGAACTACAGCCGTCATCATAGAGTGGATCCGTTGTTTGTTTGCAAGGTACGATTTGCCAGAAGAAAGAGTCACGAGTAGGCTGAACTTCTAAGGCGTAATGGTATCAGACACACGAATCAGACACAGCGAGTGGACTCACCGAACGACTTAATCGCACTTTGAAAGAATCTCTACAAGTCCATCGGCTTGCGGGAGAAGCTTGGGATGATGCGTTGGTATCTGCATTGAAAGTGTACAGAATCACTCCACATACTGAAATGGCAAAGACCCCCTCGGAGTTAATGTTAGGGCGAACAATTCGAACTAGATTAAATGCAGCCTGTACATCTGAAGAAACCGCCGATCACAGAGAATACAAAAGACGGGCTGTTTACCAGGCTAAATATAGACGCGTTTGGAGAACGTATCCTCCAGGGACATTTGTTCGTGTAAGACTACCTAATTCCAGGAAAGGAGAAAATGCGTACGGACCCCGACCCTTGTGGAATCTGTGTGCATGCCACGAACTTACAAGTTGGCTGATGGGACAAACGTGAATGTAAGACGACTGCACACAGCGCTTTCCTAACGTGCTACTGAACAGACGGACACATCTACAACACAGCACTCGGTACAAACTAATACAAACTTACGACGTTCCGGTCGGATAAGCCGCCATGTCTACCGACACGCTTTAACGGGTAACACTACATGACATTTCTTCGGGGTATTGACATTAAAGTAGATTGTTCATGGACATGTAGCGCTTATTTTTTACGAACAGAGTAGGATAGAATGTCGTGTTCAAAGAGTTTGCTTGGTTTTTGCCCTCGATTCGCTTATCCTACTCACACTTCTGTTTGGCACTTGTTGGCCAAGTCATGTGATCTTGCATTTGACTGATTGCAATTCGAACGTCTATCGATTTAATTGTAACGCGCATATGTGCAGACGGTTTTTCCATACATACGTTTCGGTGCAGCTCTGATCTGCTGCTTTTTCGGGATACAACAGTAGCCTTCTTATCCCCCATGCTATACGTCTACATCGGAAGTCTCTCCAGAAAATAAAACGTCCTGGGCTGTAAATATGCAGATGACGTCGTTTCGGGTTACATAACCTAACTCATTGAGGACACTTTGAAATTCCAACGACTGAGATAAGAACTAGTGACTTGGTCGAGCTTCTAGTCCTCTCATCCAACCCTTCCAGGCGTTGTGACGTAACGTCTCGCTTTCTACAAAACCCCGACAGGCTGCGCTCCATGGTATATATCTTTCCTCCCTTGATTGCTGGTGATAAAAGCATACCTCGTTCCACGATCGTAAATTGTCTCGGAGTTTTCTTATTCCAATTTATCTTGATCTACACATATTCCTGAAGGTGTTCATTAGCTTATGCTTATTCCGGTTAAGCGAAAAATGATCTCTTTGCAATCGCCTTTTCTGGCATCTTCATGTGCATTATATACGACTTTTTAAAAAGTTAGCATACTCTATTTTTAGGCCCCCAGGCTCAAAATGCTTTCAGTTTCCCGAATGTTACTTCTAAGGTTTATAACCACGTACTTCCCCTCACTGGTTATACTGTTCCCACTTATTTTCCACCGACGTCTTGAATGCGACAATGTCCCTGTTTTACACTCGCTAAAAATTATTCATTGCTGGATTAAGGAAACAATGGCTGGTTGACAAACGTTTCGATGTATGGATCGGCTTTTTAACAAGGATACTAAACGACCCCATTCAACTTTTACTTACTTAACCATTACTGTAGCCACTTCCTCTATACGGTCGAAATATAAAGTTTTGTACTCACTAGCTCGTCGTGTCGCATCTCCATCCTGCCTTAAGTGTCACGCTTACTAGTCGACCCATCAGGTATGAAGCGCTACTTGCGTCAACACATGTGTTATTGAATATGTACATTTTGATTTTACTGCAGTCAATTTGTACTTTTTCAGTGACGTTTTGTTGTGCGAAGTGCTGAAATTGCGACAAAATGGGTATATAAAGCGTATCTTGACTAGACTTGAAGATATGGAATTTCCGGTATTTCGAGGAAACACAATGAATTGCTGCTTGTGATTTAAAGATCAGTTACATGCGTTTGCAGATCGAACACTGCATAAAAAAATTGTTCCTTACTTGCATTTCAGTTGACATCTTGGTGGGAAGTAACCAAGTCAAATTAATGATGACTTACTTGTTGTAAGCCACCACCGCACATGAGCAGATATGAGGTGGAAGTACGGATGAAACGTTCGAGCGATTACCTCGCATGGGATCAGGTCCCCAGGAGAACGTTCCATGGATGGTCGTATTACCTTACTCGAGCTGTCGGCTATACTTATATTTATTTTTGCTCTAAAGCTTTCCGTTCTTTACCACTTTTGGATGATGGAACACTCCAAACACTCCATTGGGACCAATGAACTATCCGAATAACATTCTTCGCTGTAAAAATTTTTTTGTTCAAAATGATCAGGCCACGTGATCAGGAAACGTGATCAGTCTGTCTCGCAAGGTCGAGAAATATACCAGTTATGTAGTTGTTTAGTTACACTGTCTCTTAAGTTGTCTCACTCAACGTCTCGTGCCTGAAAGCCAGAAGCACTGCAGGCTACATTCTCAGTCATATGGTGGGTGATAGAACCTGCTACTGCATCGAACGGTTCGGCCGTTTTAATAAACGCTATCCACAAACAATACAAAATAAATGCAAATCAGAACTTTTCATTCTGCAATTCCTGGGCCTCACAAAAGAAACACTTGCTGGTCCATTTAACGTATGCTACCATTGGGTGCGTCAGTCCGCGTTGTAGCCTCATGGTGCTGAATACAGGTGGAGTGAAGGGACGAGATAAAGTAGCACGCACCACCGCAAGAAAACTCACACTTTATTGTGGACCATGGATTCTTGACAAAATGCATCCATCATACTGGGGTCTAAGGCACGGAGTTGCTTACCCAGATGACTTAAAGGAAGGAAAGGCTTTCACGGGTGCCAAAATTTTATAACGGCAGTGTTAAATGTAAGCTCAGGCTTAAACGGCAGCCAATATCATTCGAATGTAGAGTGGCGACAAAATATATTGGACATACCGATCAATAACTGGTTTGGAGACAACGTCGAATACTTCATTTTGACCCGAAATTGTATCAAAGATGGCATCGAAATGAAACCGGTATGATTCTTTTCGGGTTTCCAGAGGGAGGTTCTTGCCATTTCTCACCAGGTCAAGTGTAACGCGTGGTTTGCCTCCACCGACATCGTCGATATCATACCGCTGCACGCGACTACGTCCAAATTAAGGTCACTTACTGCGATAGACCTTTTGTGTTCTGGTGGTCGGAAGCGAAGATATATTTGTATGGTCTGTTTAACCATTTAGGAGCTGAAATGATTGAAAAATGGTTGTAAGCTTCCATGAATCCAGTGAGCAATTGGTCGAATTTTTGTTTGAGGTTAAATTTGTAAATGCCTGGGCTACAGGCAAAGTCGGTATTCAAAATCAAAATCCTGTGGAACCGAAATACAGCCAAACACGCTTTATTGCCCACCCGGTTTATAGCCCACCAGGTTTTACTGGCCAGCTATTCAAAACACCATTTCTTTTCTCATAGTATGCTAAATGTTCGCTGTCTAATTGCCCATTGCCGGAGTCATCCCACCGCATAATTGCGCAGCTGCGTGGGTTGTGCCCTTGTCGCTTTGTCAAATTTACGCCCTAGCTCTATCTTTTAATACGATTACCCCAAAGCTAGCCAGTCTGATGGAGTCAAGAACAACAAAGAAGTCGGGGTGGTTATGGACAGACCACAAAAGGTTACCTACGTCACTGAATACTCGAGCAAGCTGAATGTACCTACGGCTATGGGCAAACCGTCTGCCCTATTCAATACTCGAAAACTGTGCAAAGTCGGGTAATCTTTCCGCTCCACATTTGTCAGTACTCTCTTGGTCCCACATAAATATGGCCAGTAACAGAAAGGATTTTCCTTGACAGAAAAGTTGAATGTTTGGGATAAAATTAGAACTTATCCACCAGGAACCTCACAGGCAAAGCTGTCGCATGATTTACACATTTCTCGTTGTACCCTAGCCAGGTTGACTGCCAGCAGAATTTGTCACATGGCGCTGCATGCTCTCAGAAAAGGAAGTGATGTGGAAAGAACAAAGAAGTTGAAACTGTATTGAAACACTGGATGATATCAGTTCGTGAGTACAACAACCAAAAAGGTGAAGGCCCGCTTCTGAAGAATAGGGCAAAAGAATTCGGGGAAAGGCTTGAAAAGGCTTTGCTGCTTCAGAAGGATGGTTACAAAGATTGAAGAAGAGAAATCAGATTATGTCTTAAACATGTGAATGGCTGAACGAGTTCCGTGGACAAAGCAGTCTGTGAAAATTGGCTGAAAGATAGACTGTCTGAAATTTTAAACGCATTTGTTTAGGACAACGTATAGGATGCAGAGGAAACAGATCTTTTCTCCCGAGGAACTCCAGAGGGCTCCTTGCGTTTCTCTGCCGATAAGCTCAGAGGATTGAAAAAGTCATGGATAGGATAACTTTTCTGTGCGGTGCAAATATGTCAGGCACGGATAAAATCAAAATGATTTTGACTGGAAGAATTAAGCAATCACGATGTTTTAATGGCGTGAACGTGAACACAATTCCCGTAAATTACAAAGCTAACGAGAATGCGTGGGTGACGGGGAAAGCTTTTGCCGAGTGGGTCCTGAAATGGTACAAGGAGCTAGGCAGAAAAATTATGTTGCACCGCCCCTTCACAGGTAGAAGGCCTGAAAAACATTCAAATGGAATTATTGCTGGCAAACACGACCAACATTCTTCAACCCATGGACAAAGGTGTGTGAGGAAGCTTAAAATACCTTCCATAAAGGAAATTGTTAGACGCATTCTTTATCACATAGGAAACAACGTGTTATCTGGCTCATCGTTGGCGATACAAGTCAGCGCCAAGATTGCTGTGCTCGATGCAATTCAGTGCGTTTCAAAAATTTGGAGTCAAATTACCAGTGAAGCAATAAAAGCTTTCTTTCGGCATGCTGGCTTCAACCGACTGGCATCTTATGCACTTACTGATAACGCAGTCGTCGTTAAGGACGAGATCAGCGCTTGCGTAATCCCAGTCCTCAATGGAAGAGTTAGTCGCCATTGACGAAGATGTGGAAAGTACCTCAGATCTGACAACTGTTGAAGATGAAATAATCAGTAAAATTTTAGTGGAAAGACCAGAACAGAAAGAAGGCAGCGACTCAGAGGATGACGTTCCGGAAGCCTCCGTGAGTAACAGCACTCAGCGCCCGTCGTATTCAAGAACAAAGAACTGTGGGAATGATCTATACAGCTACTGACTTTTGCATGAGCTAGGCAAAGATTTCTTGTCTAAATTGGATATCATCTGTGTAAAAGTGGCTGGAGTAGCAGATTAAAATCATGTACGGCTGACGCCGGATTGCTTTCTCAGCAAAAAACACAGTAGGGCCAGTTTCTATTGCTATCAAGGTAAGGCTTTATGTTATTATTTTCAACATCTAGGTCATGCTCTTCCGAATAAACATGTTTTGTGAGCTTTAGTTACAAGTACTATTTTATCCTCCTTGGCACAAAGAATAATAAACGATGGATTTATACAGGTAAAAAAGCACTGCTTTACAAGTCCAGTCGGATAGCTAGTGGGGACATCAAAATGATAATAATAATAGTAGTGGTAGTAGTAGTAATATTAGTAGTGGTGGTTGTAGTAATAGTAGTAGTAGTAGTAGTAGTAGTAATAGTAGTAGTAGCAGTGGTAGCAATAGTAGTAGTAGTCGTAAAACAGGTAGTACTTTACCTACGAAAATAAAGAGTTATCGTTTGCGCCGCTGTAGTCCTGTGATCCGCTTAGATTCACAGCACCCACAGTTAACATTAAATAATTCCATGGTAAACTCCAGGTGTAGGATGGAAATGTAGCGCTAGGTGATAAAATGCAAGTGGATGAGCACATCATCCAACCGCCTTTTAAATGCTGTTAGTGTCGGTGTGGTGACGACCGATTTTGGGAGAGCATTCCACGGGTGACAGACACGAATGGAAAAGAAATTCTGCGGCACTCAGACGGCTATACTGTACAGCGAGATTCAATGAGTGGTCCCTCAGGTTTGCATTGCTGCTGAGTTGCAGTAAAGGATCTCGCAGAATCAAGTCTGCCAAAATCAGGCCGCCACGTAGTCTGCGATAGCTTCCACTGAATACCCCCAATCGTTGCAGCCTCTCCTGGCATGAAAGATTGCGCATTCCAATTACGTTCTTAGATGCCCGACATTGAGGCTGTTCCAGTGCTTTAAGGTCCTGTTCCAGCCATGGATGCCAGGCTTGAATTGCGTCTTCGACATGGGGGCGAACATACGCACTGAGCATTTGTCGAACTATGGTGCTGTTTATTTGTTCAAACGCCCGTCGCAACAGCCCGGTGTTTTGGGTTCCAGCCCACGAGGCCTTTCCGGATTGCGCGGAGCAACCCAAGTCATCTTAAACCAGGACAGCCAGATCAGGTTTGACAGTAGCTTGTTAGAGTATATTCGAGCCGAGCGGGTATGAGCAGCTGCTCTGATGTCGGATGGAAAGCACCTTGCATTTACTGACGTTGAAATGCAGTAAATTTTAGGTTGATCATTGATCTACCTTTCTTAGGTCACCCCGAAGCGTATGCTGGTCGGCATTTACCTGCATCCTGCGTAAAACCTTAACATCGCAGGTAAACCATAGGAAGTTTGAAGTGATTCTCTGTGTGAGGTCCTTAATAAACATCAAAAAGAAACGTGGACCTAGAACTGAGCCTTTAGGCGCTCTACACTCGACTTGTATGGGATCCGATAACGAGCTCCGAACACTGATCACTAATCGCTTTTGGAGTAGAAAGTTGGCAATCCAGCTTAAAAGAAGGTCTCCGATCCCGTAATACGGGAGCTGGGAAAGTAGTATCCGATGAGCTAGACGAGCAAAGGCCTTCGAAAAATCCAGGTAGGTCACATCAACACCTTCTCCAGCGTCCGCTGCCGCGGTGTAATTACTGCATGCGATTAGTAAATTTGTTGCACATGACCGCTTTCGACGGAAGCTGTGCTGATGTTGCAGTTTTCCACATAACACCAGCACATCGGGAACTATGGATTCCATGACCTTGGAGAGTATAGACAGAAGGGATATGGGGCGGTAGTTAGAGGGATCAGTCCTGCTTCCGAGTTTGTGAATCGGGGTTATTGTTCCAAGCTTCTACCTAGCGGGAAGTTGATTCTGGTCTAAGTAGCGCTGCAAAAACTGTGTTTAAGTTCTGCTAGTTCGCTTGCTGCTGCTTCCAATGCCTCTGGACGAATGGTGTCGAAACTCGGCGAGCTGTGTTTGCCTAGAGACGTCAGCTTTCGCAATACAGCTTCCGCAGTAAACGTGATGTGGATTAGTACTGGCGGTGAGAAGACAAAGGTTGAAAGATCGCTTGATGGTAAGACCCTCTGAAACGTGGGAGCATATTGCATCTGCAGAGCGTTCGCTGCTTCCACAGCCATTCGTGCTGAGCTATCGGCCGTCATGAGTGGACAGAATCCTTGCTTGACTTTTCGTAGGCCACTGACATGTTTGTGCAGCAGTTTGTGGTTAGCACTGAGGGATTTTGCGATGTTCTAATGATATGTGGATTTGTCTTATCTGAGCAGTTGAGTGCAGTGGTTACGTTGGACTACATAGCTGTCCCAACTTTCTGGTGCTGGAGCTTCTCTGTACACCCACCATGCTGCGTTGCGGGCTAGCGTCCATTTTCGAGTTCTGCTCATAACGAAAGTAACTGATGTAGACTCATAGCAAACTTTTGTCTCTAAAGCAACTGCATGCAGCTGAAGGAATTTGTCGACGAAATCGAACCAAACAGCTTCCGGGGTTCTACTAGGAGGAACAACCAGGTTGTAACGCTGACGAGCTGGGCTACTCGATCGTAGTTTGTGATAGTTCGCCCAGTCTCATGGTTCTTATTCCGATATTCTGCATAGCAGACGGTTAAAACAGATGGCGGGATCACTGTGACCCAATTGGCGGTCTAAAACTAACATATCAAGTATGTGCTCTTCGTTGTTAAGCAAAAGATCCATCACAGATGGCTTTTTATCTATTCTGAACCGAGTGGGCAAAGTGAAGTGATTCTAAAGAGAAACACCAGCTACGTGACCTTGTAGCTCGGCTTTGACTCGTTCTCCGATTGAGGCAGCGGTTTCTAAAAATATGTACGTTGAAATTACCCAGGATAAGGATGTGAGTGTACTATCGCTTTAGACTGCATCTTAAAGCAGCCGCAAGGTGGCAGTCGGTTTCTGGTGTAGGGTTAAGATGGCGGTACACCAAG